AAGAAAATGTTGGAGGACCAAGTACGCCCAGCGTAATTCCATTGTACGCTAAGCGTAATGACCAAAATCACGTTACGCTAGCGTAATTATAGGTTACGCCCCGTGTAATGGCTAGCACCAGATAAGTTCAATCGCGTGTAAATCTTTAGTACGCCCAGCATAATCCGACTTACGCCCAGCGTACGTAAGTCGGCTACAAAGGTTATAAAAGTCGATTTTCAGCTAACCAGAAGGGGGGATTCGACTTCTAACCTAATTTAGTCGATAATTAACTTCTGTTAAGATGTTTTGAGGGTCTAGAAGGCGACCGGAAAGCCATTAAGCTAACGGGAGCGGAGATCGGAAGGGTTGGAGAGCGGATACGTGTCGGTAATCATATGGGTTGTTAACGTGACCATGTTTAGCATTCCATTGTGTTACTATTCTGTATTTAGTTTCTGGTTTGGGTGTAAAAACCTTTTACTTTGTGTTTATGATTGAATGAAGCTTTGATTATTAGACTAATTGCTATATTGAATAGTTTGTTTGTGTTTAATTTATCTTGCCAAGCTTGTTAAAAGATCCTTACGTGTTAATGATAATTATTTGCTGTTAATGGCCAAGTAAATTGAGTTGTATGAACATCTGCTTGATTGCTTGTCTCTTATGATTTTAATGACCATCGAGATTATAAGTCTAGGAATAACGAATGTGAAACTAGGATTAACTTGGGAATAAGTAAGTTAATGTGTGAGCCTTGTTTGATGACCATCAATAAGAGGTTAATTGAATGTCTAATTTGATTAACTATATTTGCAAGTCTTGCTTGATACGAACTGAATACTAGGAAGCATGTTAGTTTAATCAACTGATCAGTGTTTGAATTAACTTGTTTGCTAAAGGATTAGTTATAGTGAACGCGAATCTAATCATTTTAGGAATCGATGAACATGAATAAATGAATTTGTGTATGCAATTGTCTATGTTTTTAAGGTGTAATTTGTCTAAACCAAAGTACCTGAAGAGATTTGCTTTCTTGTTAGTTTATCAAGAGTTGTTAATTAATTATTAGTTTGAGATTTATTAAACTATTTCTTTATTCTCTTCGTGTGACATGTAACTTATAATTAAATATATTAAATTAATCCACTATTCTCTGTGATCGACACCCGACTTACCTAAACTATATTGTAATCTGACTAGGTACACTGCCTATAAGTGCATAGTTAGTCTAAGTTTGTTAGGTTATAAATATTAAAATTAATGGGTACTTTCGTGCACATTAAGCTACAAATAAATTGTATTTGAAATGAACATCATTAATGAAATTAGAAAATAATTGCATAAGTAAAAATTTAAATTAACAATTGTTAAAAATAACACTAAATACATAATTATATTTAATTCTATTAATGAAGAAAGTGGGTTGATGTCAATGAATATTATTGTTCAAAATAGTTAAGATCATATATATATATATATATATATATATATATATATATATATATATATATATATATATATATAGAGAGAGAGAGAGAGAGAGAGAGAGAGTCAAGATCAAATAAGAAGGAAATTTTTGGTAGGAAGGTAAGAAGTTTTTTTTCTACATATTTTTTTCGCGAACAAACAAAATGAATCATTAGATGATTCATTTGTAAGATGATTCACAAGAAAAAATTCTCCAAAAAACATCTCGATGATTCATTTATACAATGATTTTGTTGTTATTCACTAAAATTATCATAAAAATGAATTTTTTTCTTAATTTACTTAAAAATGACTCATAAAGATGTTTTTTTGAGAATTTTTTCTTGTGAATCATCTTACAAATGAATCATCTAGTGATTCATTTATTTTGTTCGTCAAAAAAATATGTAGAAAAAAAACTTCTTACCTTCCTACCAAAAAAAAATTCTTACCGGATCTATATATATATATATATATATATATATATATATATATATATATATATATATATATATATATATATAAATTTGTGAAAAAATATTATGTCAAAGTTAATTTCAATAACATAACCATTATAAACATATATTTTTCAATATTCTAACAATATATTTTTAACCTACGTCGCGCAACGCGCGAGGATTCGACTAGTTATCATAAAAAGAAGCATTCTATTTCTGTTGGATAGGCTTCTCGAGCATATTTTCCCGACAATAGATCTAGAACAAATGATGCTCTAAAAATGGTGTTTTAGGAAATTCTTTATTAATAATGAGGTGTTTTGGACTTTCTTAAGGATTACACAGTTGAAAGCATAATCGAGCTTAAGGTAGGATTCATTTTGATAAAATAAAACTAGGATTCTCTAATAAGGAATAACGTTGATGTTGATCTTTGGGGTTTATGTCATTCTTTAGTTATTGGCAAGGTTTTAAGACAAGAAACAGAACCTAAAGCTGCTGCAATTTGAGGCTACTAAATGGAAACGTAAATAAGAATTTGAATTTGAAAGAGAACGAATCGTAATTTGGCATAGTAACAGGAAATTTGTAAAATAATTCATTTAATGAACAATCCATCATATATTTCACTAACTAACCTATATTTCTTTTTTCAGATTTTATTCCAATGCTTATAAGTAGAAAGACTGGGGATTGGATTGGAACTTCTGAAAGGAATAAAGGTGCAATGTGGACTTGCTATCTGGACACTAATGTCATTTGTATTACATCAACTTCTTCTCTCATCATTGTGTATGTAATAAAATATTTTCCTTCTTAATTAGATACATTATAGCAACTATCACAATAAAGTATGTTCCAAAAATATTTCTGGAATTTGTGCTATTTGAAAAATGGAATAGTGGACTTTTTTGTTGTAATTGTACCAATTGCTTTTAATATCTTTATAGTTGCAGGAAATATAATTAGATGCATTGACATGGAATGACCTGCAGACATTTGACCAAAAATATGCCTGCATGTTCCTTTTCTGAGGTAATTTCATATGTATGAGAAGAATAATCGATAGTTTAAAGAAAGAAATGCATCCACTTCTTGGATTATGCATCCAGTTAGTTATTTATTAGATGATGCTTCTTTTTGCATTCCATAATGGAATGAAATGTGTAATATAAAAAAGATTTTTAAGGAACCATCTTTGGTAAGAAATGTCTGATTTCTGTTTAATGTAACTTTTTTTTTGGTAAAAACAACTCAATGTTTTCCTGTAATCTTATTTGGGTTTAATGACCTTTTATTATGCTTAATTGTTTTCGCTTTTTTGAATAAATTCTATTACTATAATTAAATATAATATGGAATAGAGTTAAGATTACCACATGATAGTTTTACATAGCTCATATTGATGTTACTTGGTTTCGTACCTACCTTAGGCTAATGTTAATTGCATCCGTATTTTTTATTTATATTTACATTTTTTAAACTTCTTGATGCATGTAATGTTACTTATTTAAATTAGCATTTCTATTTTATTTTCAGTAGTTGAATAATTTCTTTTCCTATACAGGTCAACAAGCTGGAAGTTTTTATTGGTTAGCTTTGTTGGTGCAATTAATTGTGAATTCTATGAAACATATTTATGTAAAATTGTTGAATAGTAAAGTATGTTGCTATTTCTCGAAGTGTCCAAAACTAATAAGGACTTGCACAATATTCCAAAGAAACCCCTTTGGACCGTGCTTAACAAGGTCCTTACGCATCCCATATATATATATATATATATATATATATATATATATATATATCCGATCGCAAAGTTTTGGTAAATTTATTTATTTATTTTAGATATAGTAAAAAAAAACACACAACTAAAGTTTTTTTTTCTTTTTTTTTTAAAGCGTAAGATGTAAATGAAAATGAAACACATGTATAGTCATGTAAAATTAGAATGACTTTATTTCCCCATATAGAACTCTTTTAGGAAAAATTGGATCGAGCAAACACATTATACAATAAGATGATAGTGATCATTTTTTTGTGAGATAATAACTTAAAATATAATATATTTTTTATTTTGTATATATTTAATCACTGGATTTTTTTGTTCACATTTGGCCAATTAACTTTTTTTTGTCTACATTCAGTCCTTATAATTGGATACTCCAAGTTAAGCAGAAAAACGACTTAATAGGGTAATATAATTTTCAGTTTCTACACTTTTAATTCTTAATATTTTTGTACATATTTAGTCTTTGTGACCGGTTTCTTCAGATTTTGCTCACTGTAACCTACGTGGGACAGTTATCAATGAGGTGTTATTATACGTGACTCGTCATTCACTTATATTAGTAACTTAATTTATGAATCGGTCAAATAATTTTTATGCCATATTTTCTCCAAGAATAAGGTGTTTCCGGTTTCGATTTCATTTATCTCTATAGTAGACAATGAGATTCATTGTTTTGGAAGTGCAAAATTCGAGTTGGGAGGACACAATCACAACGAATTTCGTTGTCTACTATGGAGATAAATGAAACTTTTTGCTAGGGTATTCTTTTGTCTTGGAAGTGCAAATTCTTTCAGCGTCTCTCTTAATTTTTTTATCTTGGAAGTGCAAATTCGATTTGAAATGATACAATCACAAAGAATCTCGTTGTCTACTATGACATATAGATGAACCTAGAGCGAAAGACATCTTTTGCTTGAAAAAAACTAGGGTATCAACATTATTTGACCGATTCATGAATTAAGTTACTGATATAAGTGAAGGACGAGTCACGTATGAGAATAATTCATTAATGATTATCCCACGTAGGATGTTGTGAGGAAAATCTGAAGAAATTGGCCATAAGAACTTAAATGTATACAAAAACATTAAAGACTAAATATATACAAAATCATAAACATATTGTTAGTTGTTAGTTGGGAGAGTATGATATATTTATAATAGCAATGTGCGATTGAAGAATCAACTCAAATCATAGTGGTATGAGTTTAGTGGATTCATAATAAATGAAAATTACGTTATTTGGTTTTCAATACTTGATGCGTCACATTATGTCATCTTTAAACAATTGGTATGAATTTTGAAAGTATAAACATAAAACTTAATACCATAAACATAAAACTAGATCACATAAAAAAATAGTATGATAAGCTTGACATAAAAATTAAATAATGCGATTACATAAACGTAAATTGCAAATGGTTCCCTTTGCGCATCAAGTCTCTTAGGATCTTAGGGGGTTTGATGATTATTACTTCATTGGGCCTTTCTCATTCATATGGAATGGAACGAGGATGCATTATATTCATTCCGTATGTAGATTGATAAACCGTTGATATGAAAATTTAACAAAATTATTCGTATGACCACATGGTATAATAGAGCATTGGCCTTCCAGAGATATACAAACAATATCATGTAGATTGACAACAGTACTCTTCATGCAATCATTATCATGTACATCAAAGTTGTCCTACTATTTGTGGGCAAAGGTAATTTCATCCTGAATACCGCTGCAAAAGATATTTGGATTCTCATTAATCATCATACAATATAAAAAGTAATAAGTGTCAACATTTGTATATTTATCTCCATCATCACAGCGTTGAGAATACCGGTACTATACCATTGGAAAACCTCAATGAACATCGATATCTTTAAATTTGGTTCATTTGTTGAGAATGTGTACATACCATCTACAATATTAGAGGTCGTTATATGATAACTCACACTAGGAAAACACACCCTTGGCTCATTCATCACAACCAATATTGTCAAGTCATTCATGTTTTGCATGTTGAAACCTAGCCAAACGTGAAACCAGACGTCCCACACATGAAATACATACGTTAAAACATCTTTTCCACATGGTAAACAAAAAATCCGTAAAACAGATTTTCCACAACTCAAAATTATTATACAATATAGCTCTAGCCAACACATGAACAACAAATCAAACCCATGCACGGCCTTATTCAATGTGAAACTAGACTTTCAAACACTCCAAATTACATAAAAAAAAAACGCCTAGTGCTGAACCATGCACTCTTGCTTCCCAGCTACGATTCCCGCCTTGTGGGACCCATCCACATCCCTAACTTGATCAACATCTTCAACATCCCGAAGCTCATCTTCATCACCCAAGCTTCCAGCCTCTGTAACAACAACAGCACACGAGATGGCTTCAAAGATGATTGCCATCACTTCCTGAAACCTTTCTTCTGAGAGAGACACCTCCGCTAAAAGCCTCCAAGCATTTTCCTCAGATGCACCATCATAGTCCTCCTTCCGTTTCAACACCATGTGTCCACTTATCTCCCAAACTGCTGGATTCACTTGTGTGTCTAAAAGCTCACTACTCACTTCTCCCAAAGCTTGTTTCTCCGCATAACACTGTTTTTCATTTTATTTTTTCCCCATTAGAAACAATATGACTTAACATAACACAGGAAAATATATACATATATATATATATATATATATATATATATATATATATATATATATATATATATATATAGTTTGTTAAGCTTTTATACCTGAGGGAGGAGGAAGATGCGTCTTCCGGAATCTGATATGAGGACATTGTAAGGTATATTGTTGTCTTGAAGGCAGATGCATGAATCAGAAACAACGTTTGATAAATCTTCAAGTGAATATCCACCTTCGAATACAAGACCTCTGACTGGGTACTTGAGAATCTCCGAAATTACAACTCCGCCATTGAAGTCGGTGATCTTTCTGGTTGGAGCTTTTTCAATTGGAAAGGGTACAGCTAAATAGTAAGCCTGAAAGTGAAGGTGATTGATAGTGGCAAAGGCACCAAGACTATTGTAACCTACACGGAAGTATGGATTTCCGGCTTCTGATGCCATGTAAAGTGCAAGCAAGAAGCTTTCATGGTCAATCCTTTGGGGTAAACACTCGAGAATTCGAGGAATTAGAAGCACGTGTCCATATTCGATTGGACTCACCTATTGATAAAGAATAAATATTTATCAATAAAAAAAAAAAAAACCATATACGTTTGTTAGACAATTACAAGAAGATGAAAGTAACTTACGTTTATGGCAACGACACTTGGGGAGTTATCGATGTTGATAGGAGCATTTGGGTAGAATTTGACTTCATCATCTTCACTTGATTCAAACTGGAAGAGGATCTCCTCTTGCCCAACTTTAGTGAAGTTGAATTTGCTCCCATCAAACGGCTGAAGAACTTTATCCACCCGAAACTCGGTTGGTCTTTTCTTTAGGTGGCGACCCTCGTTTAGTTGAGCAACAAATCCGTAATCTCCTGGAATCACCTGTTAATCAATTGCATATATAATTAGATTTAGGGAAGATGATAACTATTGTATTTGTATGCAAAAAAAAAACAAACAAACAAACAAACATTTATGAGATGCAAACAATTTGATGTCTGTATACCTTTGTTTCACAGGCAGTAACATCGTAGCGAAACAGGCCCCTCTCGACACGATCCTCCCACTGAAACAAACTAAGAATCTTAGCATAAAGTGACAGAGATCTAAAACCCAAAAAAGTAAATCATCGGTTTTCAGTATTACCTCTCCAAGGAGGAGGGAATCCAAGAAAGCAAAAGGAGGCTCCTTTTTGTCACTGGATTCAACCTTATCGGATTTTCTGAAAGCATACAAAGGTAGCTTTGCCCCTGAATAAAATAGCAACAATACTTTAGAATGAACAACGGAGTGAAATTGTAGCAAGATGAAGAAAAAAGAGCTTGAGGAAAAGCATTATAACAAACACCTGGTAGGCAACAGTCTCTCATGCAGTTACGACCACAACCACCGGTCGCACCAGCGTCCTCCGACTCTTCCTTTTGGTAATTGGAAAGAACAGTGGGAACCCTCTTGATCCTCAACATCTTGTTCGATTAATTGGGACGCAAGGCAAGCAAACAGATCTTGATACGAATTGTGTATATATGTATATACGAAAAACCCCAAAACTAAATAAAATGCACCTAGGCTACGATGGGAACGAAGAAGGAGTAAAAACCACCGCCGGCGAGGAAGAGGAGGTCAGAGGGACTGCCGCCTTCAGAAGGCAAAGCCCCACGTCCGCCGTGCGTAGAAGGGTTACTCTCAATAGTTATAGCTCCCTTCCCTTGTACTGATCGGGCATATGCAAGTGGCCGCGGTGCTCCGTGTATAGCCGTGGTGTCTACAACTTGATGATCCCGGGTTTTACCCCAACACGACAATTCTATGTGTTACCAAGGAGTGAATTAGAAAGCCAGAAGAGAGAATCGTAGACAGCGGAGGCAATTGTTGGAGTTGGGGATGGGATTGAATGGGTGGGAAGGAGATTAGGTTATATAGGGATTATGCCGGATAACGCCAGTTGAACTGTTGAAGGTTGTCCGAGGAGTTTCTATGGCTGAGGTTCGGCCGTGACGAGAGGAGTGTTTGAGTGGCTTTGAGTGATTTTGCTCTCGTTTTGTGGGACTAAAATTTCTAGTCGCAAATTAATTCGAGGACGGGAAAAGAACACACAACACCATTTGACGTCGTCTTTTCCAAATTAATTTTTAATTTTTATTCACTACCTATGGATAATGGATCGCGTGATATTATTTTTTACTCACACGATTTCTTAATTTATTACTACCAAGGGCATTTGCCACCATTTTTTTCCTACTTATCCATTCTTACGATGTATTTAACTATGTAAATTTCAATACATTATTGAAAAAGGTAATTTATAGTATAAATTAAAGAGTTAAGACTTTTTTTAGAGTATAATGATCATTAAACTCTAAATACATTGAATGTCAATATAGCATCTTATATTTGTATAGTTTATCTATTGAACTCAATTTAAATTTGTTATCTAATTCAACTCTCTCATTAAGAATGCTCTAAGTAAAAAATATATATTTATCTATCAAAATATGGGATTTTTCTAGTAAAATTAATGTTTATGCAGTTACTGTTTATGATAGAGATTTCGACAGCAGTAATAATAAAAAAAAGAATCAATCACCCTTTCGATGATTATAAAAACTAAAAAGGACTTAATCATCCTTTCTTCTCTATCATATATTTTTTTACGAGTTGATTACAAATCAATTAATATTTTAATTATTTATTATTTATGAGTAACACCCGTTGTAAAAATAAAAAATAAAATAGGAGGCATCAGCTAAAATGACTATAAATAAAGTATGTACCATCATATTTTGTATTTGAGTTGATGTAATTGTTGCCAACAAATATGAGTTTATCTTTTGTTTGCTTTTAAAATATAAAAGATTTGCTTGTAAAATATATTTGTATACAAACAAATATATGCAACTTAAGAATAATATTATATGTTTGTTCTCGGACTACTAATTAAACTAATTTTTTTTAATTATTTTTTCTAACATTTAAATTTACATACTTCTAGTTTATTAAAACTTAATTCACACAACTACATTGATAATTTCTTTTTTAAGTTATTCATTCCGTATAATTTGAAACGATGCATTTAGGATGCTCATATTAAGAAAAAACTAATCGTTCAAATCTTATTTCCTTATGAAGCTCAAAACATATAATGATAATGTTACTTTGTGTAACCAAATGAAATTGTGTTATCCTTTTTAATATAAAGATATGGTTAAATTTTAGAAAAAAAAATATTTATGTTTTGATCCTATTAACAATTTAATTTATGTTTTTTTTAGTCAATTAAATCTCAAAAACTAACAATTGATTGTAGGTTGACATTTTTACCTGATAAATTGTTCACCAAAGAATGTGAGTATTTTCGCAAATAAATCAAAATATAAGGATTTTTTTAAGTTATATTATTTTTAACTTTTTAATATTATCTTACTATCTTATTATATTTTTTTTTATGTCTAACGAGTTGTATTATCTTTATATTAATCTTACAGTGTTTTTTTTCTGACAAAGAATATTTATTATGAAATTAATTTTTTTCCATCTAAAAATAATCGGTTTTATAATATTTAAACTAAATGACTAAAAAAATTAAAATTGGTAATTCGTCATACAACAACAACATTAACAAGTTTTCCCATTAAATAAGAAATTAACCTGGACAATTATATATAATAAAAAGTATATTATGATAGCACAATACCATTTATCTAACATAAAGTGAATTTCTAGATTGTTCTCGATATTCATTACCTTTGTAAAAATACATTTATAACATGTTATGGTCGTGCATTACCTTTATTTGTGGGTATAGCCTCTTTACTACCATATACTATTAAGGAGATATGTAACGATCCAAAATATTCTAATAATTTTTTTTTGTTTAAATATTAAAACCCATTTTCATTAATTGTAAATTCCAATCACAAATTATCTCCCAAAATTCCATTACATCGGATAATTATTCAAAAGATCAGAGTGTCCATAACAAAATGTTAGAGAGTGCATTTGTGAGCCATCACGTCGGGCCCTTGCCCTTTGATTCAAAAGTATCTGAAACAATCAACAAATAACTCGCTAAGTTGGCGTTCAACTCGTTGAGTTTCTCCACTGTCTGCACAAATCGGGAAAAATCCAATCAATTCGTCGAGCTCACTAACGAACTCGCCGAGTTGGCCAGAAATCCAACCTCTTTATGCATTAAGTTGTTTCCATCGAATCTAGGGACTCCCAATCTCAGATCTCTTCCAAAACAATGTCTATAATGGTAAAATTTCCAACTTTACCCTTAAGAACCATCCATAAAGAGTCAAACTCAAACCCTAGGCTCATTAGAGTGAGTCTTAACCTATTAAGCCCTTAAACTCTCACAAAATAGCCCCAAAATACAGATTCAGTGTCCAATGGCTGGAAAATCACGTAAAGTTTCGAACTTTACGTCCATGCAAGTTACAAATACAATCTAGGGTTTAATAAAGACTTAATGAGGTACTTATTGCATGAATGGGACCTAGAACCCAATAAACTTTGCAACTTTAAGCCAAGAGAAGTCATGAAAGGGTTAAATCTAATATAATAACCCCTGGAACCTTCAACATCTTGGACACCCCAACCAAAATCCGAAAATTATGCAAAAACTTCAAATAAAGAGATCTAGATTACAACAAGCCAAGGTGTCAACTTTATACCTCAAAAAAGACTACTAGTGGTGAAGAGTTTCTGGATCCAATGTCCTCATTCCAAGCTAGGCACTTCCAACTTCAAAATCCCTTCTAATGAATCTATAACACCGTAAAATTTCAAAACAATTTTTCGCATTTTATAAAAACATAATTCATTTAATATTCGTAAAAACACCCATGTTTGAAATACAATTCATGTCATACAAAAATCCCAAGATCTGATAACATAAAATCCCGTGTGTGTGTACTGATCAAGTCGGCGTCTTCCCACGGTCGTCACTAGTACCTGAAACAAATAACACCAAACACTGTAAGCACAAAGCTTAGTGAGTTCCCCAAAATACCACATATATCACATATCAGCCACTCGAGGCTATAACTCTGTGGGTCCGTGCACCCAAACTCTGTGAACCCTCAAGTTCTAACTCTGTAAACATGCACAGCATAAATCACAAAGAATAATGCAGCGCAACACATAACATATATATAGCATACAAGCATTGTATCACATAACTCTAGTTACCTACTCAAGGTAAAGTATAGTGAGAAGACTCACCTCGTGTATCTCGATAACTCGCAAATCCCTGGAATCACTCGTGCTCGATCCCCCACACTATAATCTTCCTATAATACAATATATCTCTAATTAACACTTTTACAACTACGGTTGACTAACCCTATCAAATCAACATTGGTCAACTCTAGTCAACGGTCAACTTTGATCGGACTCGGCGAGTGCACCAAAGGAACTCGGCGAGTCTAATGCGTTCACTGACTCCCACGGATCTTTCTTGGCACGTCAAGCACTCCCCTAACTCGATGAGTTTCCACCTGGCTTGAATCGCAAGGCAACCACGACTCAACTCGCCGAGTCTCAAGAACAACTATGCGAGTTCCGGCTTGACTCAACCCCATATTAACTCTTCCTGACTCACTGGGTTATCCCCCAACCCAGCGAGTCCACTCACTGAACATATTACGTGAAACCCCAACCCTACTCGCCGAGTCCCAAGAATAACTCGGCGAGTTCATGCCATGCACACACTTATTTTGACCTTCTGAGGTCAGATTTGCTTTCCCAAACCCTAGATCTGGCCTTCCCAAGCATGAATGTCACGTAAAGTTCGAAGCTTGATGCTTGTTTAACCCCCACAAGGCATCAAAAGGATATTTTGCCCCAAAAATAACCACCTAGGTCCAATGACTCCATAATAACCCAAAAAGCTCCAATAGTTAACGTCTCTGGACCTCTTTGAGTCCACATCCAAGGCACAAACTCGAAGAGGGACCATTTGCTTCACATAATCACTCTCCAAGGGGGGGGGGGGTATAAAACCCTAACTCTAAAGATCAACCCTATAACTGAAGGAGATTCGAACCCTTACCTCAAAATGAAGCCTCTGGACCCTGGATCTGCTGTAACTTCACCTCCTCCTTGCTCTTGACACCTTCTTCTTGCTAAACAAAGAATACAAAGGCCCAAAAGTGACTTCCTCTCTCCCAAAACGAATTAGCTCTCTTAGGGTTCTCTCAAGGGACTGGTAGCCGCACTAAGAGGCTATAAGTTCCCTTAAATAGGCTCCAAACCCGGAGAATTAGGGTTCCATTAAACAGCATGGACTCGCCGAGTCCACTCCTTGGACTCGCCGAGTCCAAACGCGAATCCTTGTCCAAATCGCGATCCTACTCGGCGAGTTTGAGCTCCAACTCGCCGAGTCTCCTCACAAAATACCAAAAATATAAGAATAATTAATACCTGGGAATCTGGGCTGTTACAATTATCCCCCACTAGA